CAGTCTGGTTCAAAGAATCAGAACTTCTAATTTATCTTGCATCTCTTTCTGCATTGAAGAGCGTGATTTCCAATTGTTGATTTGCCCAAAAGCCCTTCTAGCTACACAGAAGGAGACAGTGTCTTTTCCTGACCAGTGGATAACAGGAGAGTAGAGTTTTATTAGGGTTACAGATCTCAGTGACTTGTTTATTAAGACAGAAACTCCCTCAAGACCATTTCCTCAGGAAATGTTTGTTTATACCGTGGTATTTCCCAAAGGACACTCAATAATGTATTCATATTTCAATTCATTCCAGGAATAATTGCACTGTGACAAAAATATGACAAAAGAGGCAAGAATATACAATGGAGAAAAGACAGTCTCTTCAAAAAGTGGTTTTGGTGAAACTGGACAACTACATGTAAAAGAATGAAATTAGAACATTTTCTAACACTATAAACAAAAATAAACTCACAGTGGACTGAAGACCTAAATGTAAGACTGGAAAACATAAAACTCCTAGAGGAAAACATAGACAAAACACTCTTTGATATAAATTGTAGCAATATTCTTTTGGATCTGTCTCCTAAAGCAAACAAAAGCAAAGATAAACAAATGGGACCGAATTAAACTTAAAAGCTTTTGTACTGCAAAGGAAACCATCAACAAAACAAAAAGACAACCTGCTCAATGGGAAAAAAAATATTTGCAAATGATATGACTGATAAGAGTTTATATCCAAAATATATAAACAGCTTATACAACTCAATATCAAGAAAACAAATAAACCCAATTTAAAAATGGGCAGAACTGAATATACATTGTTCCAAAGAGGACATGGAGATGGACAACAGGCACATGAAAAGATGCTCAACATGGCTAATCATCAAGGAAATTCATATCAAAACCACAATGAAATATTACCTGACACCTGTCAGAATGGCTGTCATCAAAAAGAACACAAATAAATACGTTGGTGAGGATGTGGAGAAAAGGAAACTCTCCTACACTGTTGATGGGAATGTAAATTGGTGCAGCCACTGTGAAGAACAGTATGAAGATTTTCCACAAAACTAAAAATAAAACTACCACATGACCCAGCAATCCTACTCCTGGGTGTATATCCAAAAAAAAAAAAAACCCCTCAAAAATGCTTATTTGAAAAGATACATGCACTCCAATGTTCAGAGCAGCATTATTTACAATTGCTGTCATTGTAAATACAGCAATTGTAAATAATGATATGTAAATCATTTTGCATATCTGTAAATAAATATGGAAGCACCTAAGTGTCCATCAACAGGTAAATGGATAAAGATGTAGTATATATATATACAATGGAATACCACTCAGCCGTAAAAAATGAAATTTTGCCATTTGCAGCAACATGGATGAACTTGGAGGGTACTTTGCTAAGTGAAATATATCAGAAAGATAAAGACAAATACTGTATAATATCACTTATATGTGGAATCTAAAAGATACAACCCACTAGTGAGTATAACAAAACAGAAGCAGATACACACATATTGAGACCAAACTAGTAGTTACCAGTGAGGAGAGGGGAAGGTGAAGGGTAATATAGAAACAAGGAATTAAGAGATATGGACCAGTATGTATCAAATAAACAAACAACAGGATATATTGCGCAGAGACTATAACCAATATTTTATAATAACTATAAATGGAGTATAACGTTTAAAAATTGTGAATCACTATTGTACACCTGTAACATCTAATGTTGTACATTAACCATATCTCAATTAGAAAAGGAAAAAATAAAAAATATTTTTTTAAAAAAAGAAAAAAGAAACAGATTTAAAAAAAAGAAATACAATTGCAGGTGGCTTTGTCAACCTTGACAGAAATAAAATATAAAACCTTCAAAAAAGATAATTATGCTATTTACCTTAAACTTATATAGTGCTTTGTGTCAATTATGGCTCAATGAAACTAGAAGGAAAAAAAAAGACTCCAAGAACTACATAAAGTTACAGTTATCAAAACAGTGTAACAGTGAAATAAGGGCCAGTAAATAATGAGGCAGAGCATCTAGAAATAGACCCATATGTATAAGGTCGGTTGATTTTATACTGTTGACACGTGTAATACCGAGGTTAATCTTGAAAAGAAACAAGAAATTAGTCTGGAAAATTGCAACAGGAATACACAAAGTAGAGTTTAGAATCCTAAGCCTAACGGCAATTATTAGCAAGTGAGTAACCTCTAATAGTCTTTGAATAAGAGAGAACATTCATTGATCCATTCAACAAACATTAATTGAGAAACTACATGTCTGGCACTGTTCTAGGAACTGCAGATAAAGCACAAGACAGAGCTCATGGAGTTTTTACTCTAGTAGGGAAAAGACACACAATAAATAATTAGCTTATGTAATATTTAAGAAGATAATAAGAGCTATAAAAAAAACACAGCAAGGGATGTGGGTTGTATGTTTAAATAGGACGGTAGATTGGGTGAAGGTGACATTTGAGCAAAGACTTAAAAGACTGTGGTGTGCTGTTAATGTATCAGCTACTCTAATGGACCAGTGAATTATTGTCCTGTGCTTTAGGCGAACAGCTTCACCATAATCTCTGGCTCTAACGTAGGATGTTTTGTACCTCGTGACAGGTTAAAGAGACTGAAAGACCTTTCTGATCTTTTTATAATATCACAGGTCACACAGTGAAGGTCACTGTCCACACACATTTCTGGTCTTAAAATAGCTAGCACCAGCTGCTTCAAATTCCCTTTTCAAATCATTTCTCAGAAAGGGATCTGAAACTATCCTTTGTACATAGACTAATTGAGCTGGTATGTGGTTACCTATATGCAAAATTCTTCCTCAAGTCATTTATGGTATTTTTACCAAAGAGGGAAAAACCTCTAGTTGGAGAAACTCAGGCCTCAGTGAACAGGTGGGTAAGCTATGTTTTTGATCAGGGCTTCTCATGAGAAGTTTATGCAATCACCACAAAGGCAGAACCCTTATCAAGTCCAGCTATAATCATTGCACCAGTCACTATGTTTTCGTGTGTGCACTTATCAGTGTCTGCTTGCTTAGCTACCTCTGTGAGACATTTTCGGTCAATGCTTCACAATCATGGTGTTTTATTTGTGGATTTACCCTTAGAATCTTGCTATATCCTACAGTGACTCTTATGAATCCCAAAGCCTAATCTTAATCCCACCACAAATAAGTTATAGATGGGGGAAAATAATTAACTGTCATAAACTCTCCTACGGACCCGCAGGCAAACAAGACCGCAGGGACTCATTAAAACTTGAATTTTCTCTAGGAGCCTTAGAGCTCTCTTGTCTGTATGACGCAGGACCAGGAAAACTTCCTCTGAGTTAATGTCACTTCAGAGACAATTGCTGTGAAAATTTTATTGTAAATGCATTTCACCCATGGCTTCTCCAAAGTCAAGTTTACAGATGTCTTGCTCCAGCACAAGCAGAAAAGAGTACAAAAAAGAAATATTTTGACTATATATTTTGGTACAGAACCTTCCCCTTTCCAAAGTCTGAATCTCTTATTTTTGGTTTCTTTGCTTTAGTTACTTCTAGCACATGTCTAATAAATGTACATTGATACATTATATACATATGTGTGTGTGTGTATATATATATAAAATATGTAATGTAAATGGATGTCTGATACATAAACATGTATACAGTGTCTTTACATCCATGTTTTAGGGTTGTGGTAGATCATCAGATAGCACTAG